CATTTTGAACTGGTACCTTTAATTAATAATATATCAGTTACTTTTCATGGTAATATACATATTATTATTAGATAAAAAGGTTTTTAAAAATGTTTGAGTATCTTTTTTTTAACATGGCTTGACCTTTTCATTTCTATGACGATTTTTTTCGGATATTACTTACTTTTTAGAGTACAAATACATCACAAATATGCAGGGTATCTTAGAAAGACCGGAAAAAATTATATGCATAGGTAGGCGGACTGAGTCGAAAAGTCCTGTACCGTTTTGCAATTTTCGCAATAGTTCACAAGATAATAAATAGATTAAATTAAAATTAAAAGTTGCTGAATACGTATGTCCGCCCGGCCTACTACTGCCAACAGCGTACGCCCATGATAGCTCGATGACGCACAGACCGCGGAGAACGGGAACTGCTTGGCAAGCGTCCCACACCGCGCACACCGCCGCGCGTTGCGAGCCCTAAACGACGTGACTCACAAGGTCACAAGGGAAGTGGCCAAAGTGTTAATCGCGAATTGATACAAAATGTATTTCGTTGGAGAGGTCTTGCCGAGTAGAGTACAACTGTGCAATATTTCGCTTGAATGGCGCCTCTAAAGGGCGTTATGTGCAATAGAAGTTATTCAATGTGTAGCTAATGATAATAATACAATTAAGTGATATTAGAACGCACTCCTTGCAATAATCGAATCTTATGCGTCCATTAAGATCAAAATTCAAATCTTTTATGGTTAGGTATTAAAAGTTCGTACACACGATACACACACTGCACATATCGCATTCCATTTAAGTGTGGCAGACTGTGTTCGAGTGTGTTATACTGTGTCAATTTGTGTCTCCTAAAAGGAAAGCAGCCATGTGTCTGTGGACTTACTATTTCTTATACAGATTGCGCTGCTTTTATATGAAACAAATGTTGTTACGATGTGCAACTACAGCTCTAGAGCGCCATATTGAAATAAAAAATGGAAAAACGAACTTAATTTTGAACAACAAATAAAATAAAGATATTAAATTACGGTATTAGAACAAGCCAAACAAATTAAATGATGACAATTTTAAATAATCACAATTTTTATTAAAATATTCTATATTTAACTGAGAAACGTTTCAACTTTTACAAAAGTCCTCTTCAGTCTCCTTTATAAATGATATATGACAAAATAAACGAAGTACGGTTACTCTTTCAAACTATAGTCCATCAAGTAAAATGAATATTGTTTCTCAAATAACTCAAGTTCTCAAGTTCATTTCTCAAAGTTCTCAAATACTCAAACTGTGATTAGGGCTTTGTCACAGTTTGAGTATTTGAGAACTTGTAAAATTAATAGAGTCATTCCGCCGCATATTAAACATAACAATTTACGTAATATAAGATTCACTCACTTTAGATCTGTTAATAAATTTAATAGAATGTTAACATACGTTGAAGGGAGATTGTTACAGTTAGAAATATTTGATATTAATAGACATATTCAACACTTAAACTTTAAACTAGTTGAACTAGAGTGTTATTTAATTAATAATTTACCAATCAATATTTGGAATGAAGTTCTACAACACCATATAATTTCATTCGATAATTTTAAATACAGAAAGAGAGAAACAATGTCAAGGAAATTTAATTGGCTTTTAAAAAAAACTAAATTAACATACATTAAAAAAATAGAACCGATTAATTATTATTTTTATAACAATAACTCTCAAATAAGTTCACAGCAAATTCATCCCAATAAATTTAATAATCAGTTAAACAACAGTTTATTTAACACAAACAAAAAATGGTTTATCAATCTTTCTGGTTGTGACATTCCCTCGTCAGTTACTAATTTAGTTCAACTGGGAGATAAGTTTTCTCTTCCTTCACACATTGATAAAAGGAAGTCAACTAAAGAATTTATCAAAGATTTTGAAAATTATAATAATTGTATTAATGAAAAATGTAGATCTAAACTTAGAGTGGATGTTGTACAAAAATTAAAAGAATTTACTGATGATAACAATACATCTCACAATAATATCGATAATAATTTGTGTCAAATGTACAAAGAAACTTTGAAATTTTGTAAAGATAATGAGAATATCATTTTCACCAGAGCGGATAAGGGTAATACCACTGTGGCCTTGAACAGAGACGAATACATTCAAAAAATAGAAATTATGTTAGAAGATACTAATACATATAAATTGGTTCAAAAGAATCCAATACATATAATTGAAAAGAATTTGAATAATACAATCAAAAATTGGTTAGATAAAGAATACATTTCTAAACAGTTGTCATATAAATTGAAATTCAGCGATTCGTCTCTGCCCAAGGTTTATGGTCTTCCTAAAATTCATAAAATCAATTTTCCTTTTCGACTTATTGTTTCATCGATTAATACGGTTTTATATGGGATATCAACTATGCTACATAACATTATTTCAAAAAGCTTGACTTGTGATAGTAAATATATTAAAAACAGTTTCGATTTATTTAAAAAACTGGAAGGAAAACGGATTAACGATTCAGATGTTTTGATTTCCTTAGATGTTGTTTCGATGTTCACTAATATTCCTCTTGATCTTGCTACTGATAGTATAAGGAAAAGATGGCAAACAATTACGACTAAAACTAAGATTCCTTTAGACGAATTTATCAAAATTATCAATTTTATTTTTGATTCGACATACTTTGTTTTTAACAACAAAATATACAAACAAGTGTATGGAACCCCTATGGGGTCACCATTATCTCCCATCATAGCACATATTGTTATGCAAGACTTGGAAGAAAAAGCGTTAAATATTTTGCAACTAAATGATCTGTTTTATTTTCGATACGTGGATGACATTATCATGACGGTACACAAAGATTCAATTGACAAGGTTTTGGAAACGTTTAATAGTATACATAATAGATTACAATTTACATTTGAAATTGAAAAAAACAGATCTTTAAATTATTTAGATTTAAACATTAACATTGACAACAACATTTTAAAAATAGACTGGTATCATAAAGACACTTTCTCTGGAAGATACCTTTCATTTTTCTCAAATCATCCTTTAGCACATAAAATAGGTGTTATTTATGGCATGGTTGATAGAGCATTATTGCTGTCTAATCCGGAATTTCATATTAAGAACATAGAGTTTTGTATCACTACATTATTAAATAACAATTATCCATTACATCTTATTTTCAGTAAAATACAAAAAAGAATTGATCATTTATTAAGTTATAAATTACATACATCACAAAATAAAAACCAAATTACACATTATAAACCTCTCAATAAGAAACTTTTTGTATTACCTTATATTCAAAAAGTTACGAATTCTATTACTAGTAGTTTAAACAAAGATGTATTTACCATAGGAATCAGAAGTATCAATAAACTTAATAAAATTATTAAAGTTCATAAGGATAGTACTGAAAAGATACAAAAAAATAATGTAGTTTACAAAGTAGACTGTAATCATTGCGATGCGTCATATGTAGGACAAACGAAAAGGAAATTGATTACGAGAATAAAAGAACATAAATATAATATTGAAAGAAATCCAGCAAGACCCTCAGTTCTATCAGAACATTGTAATAGATTTGGACATACTTTTGATTGGAATAATATACGTATTATGGATGTTGAATCTCATTATAATAAAAGATTGATTTCGGAGATGTTATTCATCAAAGAACAAAAAAACGGAATTAACGCGCAAAAAGATACGGAAAAATTAGACAAAACTTATGATCATTTGCTTAGGTCATTACCCTCAGAATAATACATATACATTATACGATATGTCAAACATATAAGTTTGTTTTCTTTTATTCTTGTGACAACTGTCGTTCGATACAGACCTTTTTACACTTGTACATTGTTTCACTTGAAGGATGAGAATTATTCATAGCATCTGATTTGCCGTAAGTTAAATAGATTCATTTTAATTTATAATTTTTAGAACTGTTTCCTAATTTATAATAATATGGATTTAGAATTACGATGCGGATAATTTTCTTTGTTCGGATTGAGAAACAATATTCATTTTACTTGCTGACTTGATGGACTATAGTTTGAAAGAGTAACCGTACTTCGTTTATTTTGTCATATATCATTTATAAAGGAGACTGAAGAGGACTTTTGTAAAAGTTGAAACGTTTCTCAGTTAAATATAGAATATTTTAATAAAAATTGTGATTATTTAAAATTGTCATCATTTAATTTGTTTGGCTTGTTCTAATACCGTAATTTAATATCTTTATTTTATTTGTTGTTTTAAAACATAACAAGCGTTGTCATTGTAATTATATATTTTTATATTTATTTATTTATAAGTTTTAATTTTGAAATTTTTATCGTTTTCAGCATAATTCTCCCTCACAGATGCGCATTAACGCGTACTTTAATTCTGTAAAAAAAATTTCGAATCTGTGAATGATAAAAAAGGTATTTACGATACAAAAATTATATAGTTTAGTCGGTAATACAGACGACTTTAGGATTCCCTTAATGCATTGTAATTACAAAGATATGTATTTTTGTAACTAATCAATGGATTTATCAGGATCATTGCATGCTTAGAGTAACAAATTTGATGATTATTCATATCAGGAGACGCGGTAGTGTCTCGGCCATGTTCAAAAATTGAAAGACACTACAAGTCTCTTTTATCCCGAGCCACCAAAGTCCATTTTTGGGGGGTGCATAACTACTAAAATATAAAATATAAAATATAAAATACAAAATATAAAAAATTTTGAATCGAACGTTATATATCCTGAGAGGCGGCATCGCCACGAATAATTTGAGCCAAAAAAATTTTACATCGGTCAAGCTATTCTGGAGATACAAGCGGTCGAAAAGTAGTGATTTTAATGAAAAATTGAGAAACATCTTCCTCTTTTCCTTCTCCTTCTTCTTCTCTATCCGCATTCAAGGCCGTATTAAAACTTTCTACATCCTCTCTCACCTTTTACTCATACCTTCACCATTTTCGACCCACCGGACCTTTTCATTTTAGTTCTGAAAACTCAGGATTGTTTGTTCACATAATACGGGTGTTGAACTGTCGTTTGGTTCATACGAACTGTAAAACTTTTGTATTAAGGAAACATTTATGTCAGGTGACAGCTCTACGGTTAAAAAAAACGTAAGTTTTTAAGTTTTTCAATTTTAGTATATACATATATAAAATTCAATTCAGCGCTAATCAATTTTGCGTCTTTAATTCAGTAAAAGGAGTTTTAATTCCGTTTAGTAAATTCGGAGATTTTTCTCAAACTGCAATGCACTCACAATTTGATCGTTCCAGCATTCATTTAAACACATTTCCACATAATTTCGAGACGCTATCTGAAAAACGTATGTTGAGTTAGTGGATTTCACGCTACCTTTGTAAAAACAAATTTTGCAAATAATGAAGATTCATTGTTGTATTAATTATAGGAGGCCTGTCACTGGAGTTACCCAGGTTTCGTCAAAATCACCTCGAATCGTACTTTTTGCGCCGGTACACAAGATGGGAGCGGTCCTTGCAACGGTGACAGTGGGAGTGCGCTAGTACTTTTCGATAATACTACAGACCGTTATCAGTTGCGTGGTGTTGTTTCACGGTCAGTGTTTACTCATGAACCAGTATGTGATCTTACGAAATATACCGTCTTTGTCGACGTGGCTAAATACCTATCTTGGATTCAACAACAAATATCCATCACGTAACAATAGTTTCTTATTTCAAAATGCAGAATATATGCTAGTAGATAACATTTTACATAAAATTTATTTGAAGTGACTCCATGTAAGGGAGCATTGACGAATGCATACTATTTAGACTATGCTTTTATTATATTATCTATTTAATACTTATTTTGTACACAAATAAACATTAGAAATTGTAGTTTGATATTTCAGACCTATTATTACATGTTCCACTTTTTACCAATAACAAATTAATTTGTTATAAATCGTTAATATACTGTAAAAAGCACTGTAATATATTGTAAAAAGCACGATTAGACAATCGATTATCTATAAGTTTTCTAAATCGTATCTCCTTTTAAAGTACTGAATGTTTTAATAGAAATAATTAAAATTATAAGATTAAAAAATTATCATTAATCAATTTTTAATAATTAACTAATATTTAGTTTTAATATTCTATTTAAAAAAAGAATAAGTATTTAATAATTAATCAATAACAATGAAAAGATATAAGGACAATGTAAAACTAGTTTATATTTATTTTTACATTTATACATATATTAATTATTTTAATTTTAGTACTATTAATTATCTTATTTTACGGTACGATTTGGGAAACCTGAAATATTTATAAAAACTATTGATTTAATATTTATAATTGCAAAAATGGATTATAAAAATTAAATATATTTTACGTAAAATATTCTATGACAAATCAATCTTCTTTTATAAAAAAATAAAAATTCAGAATAAAATTACACGATTACATTATTATTGTTATTAGCTACATAAGTCGATCGAAAAAAAACTAATATTAGATGTAGTTGAATTTTCAAATTGTTGCTAACATATATAAAAGAAGTGTAATCTATTAAATTTTTGTCTATATTATTTATTTTTCATTTATTTCATATCTTCGTTATTAATTATTGCTTATATTAAATAATAATATAAAATATTGATAAGGTAGGCGACTATAAGTAGGCATTTATAACAACTCTCCTTTATATAGATATTTATGTATAACACACACGCACGCACGTATGCACGCACGCGCATACACACGACGACGTAAAAATTTAAATTATTAAGTTGGACTTTGTCAAAGAACCGAATTTCACATTTTGTATGTAAAATTAGCCAGTTTAATAATGACTGTATTATAAGTAAAATTGTATTATCTGTTGTATCATAAGTAACATTTGTCTCTTGTAAATATTTATTATATTTGTAAGCCGACCTTTTGTGTATTCGCAGAATCTTTTCGTTTTAACCGTTTAAAATCAGTATGTAAACTAAATACTGATACACGCTATGTGTTTATGGTTACAATATCCGCTAAGGTAATCTTTACTCAGAAAGTTCTCGAATATCTTCTGATTTCGACATTTCTCCTTCCCAAAATAGCGTTTCAAGAAATAGGGTCTTCCACGAATATTTTCTTTTTATCTAAAACAATGCTTCTACCCCTAAAAACAAAAGTTACAGTAACAAAAGTTAATAAAAATCAATCAATAATTTTTTTTAATAAGTTAAAAATCATGTATGTTTTGAACGCTCATTTATTCGCGCCATACTTGCTGAATCGTGACGTCACGCGCTATCAGCCAATCAGACTTTCTTTTCGCTCCTCTGTTTTTTAATAATTTTTAATAATTTTTTGGGCGTAAATGAGTATTGCTAATACTGATAAATGGATCTTATGAACAATGCAGATAATTTAAATTTATAAATATAATTTTTTTATGACTAAATATTCACTATTTTATTACAATAAGTTAGGTTAGGTCGGTGACAGCTGTTGTTGACAGTTGATTTAAAATTTACATAAACCGATGTGAAATGGCAGAAAATTTGCAGAAACGAGTAATGGCAGAGAAAAAAAGAAATTACAAGTGGTGTTTTGTGATAACAAACCTACTCTTTGTAGTTTTGTTTGCAGATTTTCTTCCAGAACTGTCAGTACTTGTTCCTCCAAACGCCTGCCTCGTTCCATCGCATCAGTGTCTCTTAATTTGTAGGCTCCAATAATTTGCTCCATAAGACATCCTGCAGGTTTCTTGCAACGAGATGTTTCAAATATTTTGGAAGCTGTTATTCTACCGTACCGCAGCTCTTGCCACAAAGTTGATTTGCTTTGCTCTATGGTAGCTTTTGCCACTTCTTGATAAGGTTTTTTTATCATTTCTTCTCTTGCAAAGTTCAAAAAACTATTCGCATTTTTACATTGAGATAAATTGCAGAAGGAAATCAATAAAGAGTGGATTGATAAATCTTTATATGATTCCACTGTTAGAAAATAACGAGGCAGTTGGCAATCGAAATTTCAATTTTTAATCTCTTGTACAAGACCTGCAGGAAACCAGTATTATTAGGAAGATCTACTGCAGTTCTCTTATTCTTTACCAGATCTTTAGCTTTCATGGTTCTTACATTGCTTCCTATTTGTGCTAATACTGGTTTTTTCCAGTAGCATACGATAGCTGTAGGTTCTGGCTCTTCGCTCCGACGGTGAACCCACATTAAGAAAGCTACCGCATGTTTACAACCTCCTGTACAAAAAAAAAATATATAATTTAGTAATTTGTACTGATTTAAGATATTAATTTAGAGTAGTGATTAAGTTGATTTTAATAACAATTATACCTTCGGAAGCTGCACAGTCTTCGCATCGAACATATTCGACCTTCTCTATCTCTTCGTTGACAAGCATCGATACAGAGTAAGGTTTATTATTTACTCTATGTTCAGGACATATTTTCCCTCGGACTTGGCACAAATTACCTTCACGTTTTACTTCAACGTATCCCACAGCTGCATCACCATAATCTTTACCTTCAGCCCTGTAAAATACAGATATTGATTGTGGAATTATATTAAACTTGAAATAAATAAATAAATATATATATA